TTTTCATCACTCTGTTCTGTAAACAAAATCTATGTGATTTTACACGAATTTATGTAGAATACTAGAATGATGCAGGCAGGAGCCTGAGAAATCACTTAACTCTCTCATGTAGGTGCACAAGGGATTTAACAGACTTTTCCAATGTCACACAGCTCATATCAGATCTAGGTAAAAGAATTTGTAAGTATTTTATGATTTATGAAGAATTTAGGCTGATTTGTACAAAGAAAGTACTTCTAAACTTAACTTTTTGATTGTTCATTTGAGGCAGGGTCTCACTGCGTTGGTCTTGAACTCACTATGTGGCCCAGGCTGGCCTCAAACCCACAGTGATCCTCTTGCTTTAGTGCCAGAATTACAGGCATGCACCAACACACCTGGCAACCTATTTTTGAGCCTTCACATCCCTTTATCATTTGTAAAATGTTAAAGAACAGGCCTTTTGATAATAGCCCTGTAGGGAATTTTAACAGAAAATTCCTCAGAACATAATTTAAGAAAGAAAAGCAAACAAAACTTTGCTCTAACCAAAACATTTATTTGAAAAATATTTGATGAATTAATATAAATTTTTATAGAAATGATGTGGATACTTTGAATTATAAATGCCTCAGTAATGCCATTATAGGCAATTTTCTGAGTATTTGATCCCCACACAACCTTATGATTTGATCCCATTATTTATTGACCCCATACCGCTGACCAGGAAATGGAGACAGAACAGTGGCACTGCCAGTCTGACCCCAAAGTCTATCTAGTTAGCCACTGTACCAGAGGGCCAGTTCTACTCTGTGAAGCAATTGACATTATCAACTCATGCACGTCTTGAGTAACTGGTAAAGCCAGCATTTTAATCTAGTTGAAATCCAATCCTCTTTCCTACTGTATTATTTTGCTTCTTATATTATCACGCTTAAACCTCCTTTTAAGAACTGGTGTATGTGCTTCTACACTATGACTTTCTTCAGCAGCCATTAACAGAAAGTAAGGAAAGTAAGGAAACTTCAGTCCAAAACAGATGGCAGAGAAAGTGTTAGAAAAGGAATCCCATCCACCAGCAGCCACAGTGTCAGCTACCAAGGTTTGCCGGGGAACGATGACTCCTTTGGGTCATCCCTACCTTGTGCGCTGTGTTCTTCATTCTGGGGAGGGGGTATGTTGATGGAATAGGCACTAGTCCAGGGAGAAAGAAAGCCAGGTGCCAGTCTCAGAGAAGCCTCCAGTGGGCAACATGCCAGGTGACAGGTTGGGCACATCGTCTCTGCTCTATATTCTGAGCTCCCTTGGGCCCCTCTCACCTAGCCCATGCACAGGCACGGAAACCAGTTTAGAGAGGAGGGACTGAGATTCAGAGCACTAAGTAAGTCAGTCAGTACCCTAAATGATATTTAGGTCAAATCTGTCTGACTCCAAAATCTTTATGTATACTCTTCCAAGTTGCCCCTAAAGTCAATTTAATCTTCTGAGTGTCAGACTCTGCAAATATAAAATGCCATGCATCACTAGGAATTCTTTGAAGATGTCTAAGAAGCCACTTTGAGAAGGAAGTCCAAGGAGACCAGGGTCTAAATTACTGCCCCCCCCCGATATGCATGCAGGCATATGCACACACACACACACACCACTCAAAGAGCACATCACAATACTAACTTCACCTGACTTATAAATTTTGCTTTCTACATTTAGATTGAAGGGAAGATTTGCTGTTAAAAAAAAGTTTGGGGATCACTCTTACAAGTGAACTTTAAGGCCCCTTGAGCTTTAGTATCTAATACAGGGTCCAAGCTATAAAGGTAACAGCCATGCCATGACTTTGGTAAGTCATGCCAGTCAAAGACTTCCAATTCACTTGGCTGGGTCTGTCCAAAAGACACTTGATGCCCTTAATAGCCTGAACAGGCACTAACCCAAACATAATTTGAGAAAGTGTTTGACGGTTTCAGTGAACATGGCCTTTTCACCCAGGGCCAGAAGAAACGAAGGACAGGTTTTCTCCTTGTGGTCACTAGCACTCCTTGAGGGTTTCAAATAGTCAGGGATGGAAGGGTTGTAGCATTAGTGGTTTAGTTTTAACTCATTATTTTCCTCTTCCTCTCTTGCTTCATATTCTTTTTAATCTACCTTCAATCCTGTCTCCCTCGTCTGGGCCTACATTTAGCTCATAGACAAGCAAAGGCTGATCTGCATTGGAAGGAATGAATGAATTCACTTAGTCCCTTAAGCCTGCCTTTTGCCCACCTGCATTCCTACAAAGAGCAAAGCACTGATACTTAGTAGATATTGGGCAGGCATCTTGATGAATGCACGGACAGCCAAATCTTATTCTTCTTTCACCCCTATTCCACATAGCCTGTCATTACAAACTACATCTGTAGAAAAAAAACAAAGCTAACAAAAGACCAAGAATGAATCATAGTGATGGTGATAGCATCTTCAAAAAATTTATTGAGGTATTATTTAAATATAAAATTGACTCAGTTTAGTGAGAAATATAGTGATTTTTTACTAAATACACAGGGGTAGGACCATTAGCTCAGTCCAATTTAGGAATATTTCCATCACCCCAGAAAGATTCCCTGAGTATATTTTCAAGTCACTACCTTTTTCCACCTTCAGTCCCCAGAAGTCACTAATCTATTTTCTACTCAGTTTTTCTGGGCATTTTATATAAATAGAACCATAGATTAAATGGTATTTTGTGACTGGCTTCTTTCGGTTAGCCTATTCTTTTTAAGGTTCACCCATATATTAACATTACTAAACTTTGTTCCATTTTACATAACATCTTTTTGAATGGCAGCATTACTTAGAGAAAAGAGCACTGACTTTATAAGCATGGAAATGTGAAGTTGAATGAAAGCCGTGACACTTCTTGGGGCAAATCCCCCAACGTTTGTGAGCCTTATTTATAGCATAAGGGTAAATAATCTCCCCATCAGATGACTATTCTACGCATTAGCTGGGTTGTGACAGCAAAGAGTGGACACTCAGATCCAGTCTTGCTCTCTACTTTTCCCAGAAACTTTTGTTTTTCTCACCACCTTCAAACTGTAAAGTGACTCTTACACTGCATCCCAGTCTTCACCTAAAGCTTGAAATGAGAATCCACATAGCAAGCAACATCAGGAAAGGAATTCCGCCAAAGGGAATCACATCCTTCATTAATGGAGCCCAGACGGTGGGGAATGAAACGGATTTCCTTCAATTATATTGCTCTCATTTTTTATAAAGAACATTAAACTGCATTTAATTTTTAAAGGGGAAAAATGTGTCAACTTCTATCTCAGACCATTTTATGGAGTTATTCTCACATTTGAAAGGACCTAGGGGAGACCATATTTTCCCATTAATTCCTATAAAACTGCCCCATTAATACCAGCCCTCAGAGAATAGGTAACCAAGTAGCAAAGGGCCACGAAGCCCAGGGTAAATACAGTCCACTCCAAATCTTCAAAGCTCAGCTTTTGGTGAATAGCTTCAGACCTGTTTTTAACTAGTCCTTGAGAAGAATTGAATTTCATGTGAAATAAACCAAACTTTTTGTTCATTTCTCCAGTTCACCTTGTCTGCTCAGAATGTGCTCCCATTTTGAAGCCAACTTAAAGGGATCCAGGATGTAGCAGCATCCTATATAGTCTCGGACATAAATGTTATGGAGATGCTATGGCAAAGCCCTGAGTGTAAAATCCCCTCTCCTAAATCTCTTCCCTTCTGGGTCATTGTTTCTCCATACTTTGTAACTCATCGCTACTCCCTTTCCTGTTTCTCATTTTTTTTTCTTCACTTGTTTGGGATTTATCTCAGCATTTCTTGAAATACTTCCCTTTACCAGAGTTACTTCCTATTAAGTCCAGTATAAAAGAAAAGGATAAATGTTCTCAATAGTCCTACTAAAATAAGTTTGTAACACTTTGTTTATCCTTCACTTTGAGTAAATCAGAAAGATGTATCTTGTCATGATATAAAACCCCTGTTGTCAAAGTAAATTCATTACGTGAGGCAACATATGGCTTTCCAATTTCTCTATACCAGTCATAATCACTACATGTTTGTATTATGGCCAGGGATGGCAAAGAGAGACACTGGGTATGGTTCCTATCAAGGATCAACCTACAACCTTATCAGGTGAATTTGACTAATTTTCCTTCTATTATAATAAAGCTGTATTCACACAGGTAAACAGATAAAGGCTATCTCATGACTGACCCAGAAACAGTTGAATTTGTATGAGGATTCCTATGGTTCCTTGTTATAAGTACCTGGCTTCCAAACAGCAACTGTTAACTAAACCCTAGCTAACTAACTTTTCTCCTAATATTGAGTACACAGGGTCCTAGTAGAGAAGTTTTCACTCACTCTGTTTGTTATCACCTTACACAGGCATGGGAATCCATAAATGTGATTAAAACAAATAAATATTAGGGAAGGAAAAAAACAGTTGAAGTTTACCTAGATTTATAAATTTCCCCAATCTGTAAAAAGTGTAACTTCTGTTAAAACTTCCCTTTCATATCACTACAGTGAAAAGAGTAACTTACATCCTAGACTTTATTTTAGGGATTCAAAGTGGTATCAGAAGAATTTTTCTCATGGTATAAATAGTTCAGTAAATTTGGGATTTAGCAACATTTTTTTCTCTGTAGCACAGACACTACATTTGGTGGCAGATGACAAAATAATCTTGAACTATGATGATTTACCTTCACTTTGACGCCCAAACAACCCCCTTAAATCTTAAACACTAAATTCCAATTTGCAGTCTCATATTGAGAGTTAATTTAAAGAAAAGAAATCAGCTAATGACGAAAACCTTGTGTGTGTGTGTGTGTGTGTGTGTGTGTGTGTGTGTGTGTGTGTCCCTGGAGAATCCTCATTTCAGGGTGGTTGGCTAAAACCCTTAATTCTCAGACATCATCTCCTGGGTCTGGGCCACCGTAATATTCTGTCAAGCATCCATGCATCATGTACCCGAATTGCCAAATAATGCCAAAGCCTCCTACCCTGAGATGGCAGCCAGTTTTTGGTGTGCCTGTCGGGCCATTTCACAGCCTTTGGTTCTTGTCTTGTGCATTTCCGCCCGGAGCGAGGGGCAGCTGACAGAGACGTCCCCAATAGAAATGACCAATTCTCGGTACAGGGCCACTTGTGTGTTGAACTCTTGGACGAGCTGGAAAAGAACCAGTTTCTTCCATCACACACTTATTCATCACAAAGTTTCCTACTTCAGTGTCCGTAAACAGGAAATCTCACTGATCTCTGAACCAGCTCCCCTAGTCGCCAGGCTTAGAAACCTTTGAATTGTTTAAAGCTTCAGGCACAAAGCAAATACATGTCTGTGTTCCACCGGCAAGCCTGGCCCTTTGCAGCCCTACTTGGTCCTACCCGTCCCTCAGTTCTGAAGAGCAAGCGCATCTTTGAAGAGCTACCATGTCACTCCCAGGTCATTAGGTAAAGACGTTTCCCTCGCTGCTGCTAAGATATGTATTTGAAGGAAAATGACCAAAAATAGGGTGTCATAGGCAAGCCATTCACTTCCAACCGGGCGCCTGATCACCCTGGCTCCCAGCCTGACGGACAGAGCTGCCACAGCCTCTGCGCTGGAACCTTCGTTCCCTCCGCAGCGCCCCGTGCGCTCTTTGGGGTTGTTTGCCACCGTTTCCCCACAAAGCAGCGCCTCCACCTCCTCACCCCTCCTACCCGGCAAGCGAGCCAGTTTATCCTGTCTTTCCCCCCCCACTGTTTTTCCAGGGGATAGAGGTACAACCTGTGTAGCCTCTGAGCCCCAAGACTCTGGCCGTGACACTTCTCTCCTTAGGGCCATTACAACCCGGGTGTCACCCCGATTCGGGGGACTGCAGATTTAAAAATAGTACTTGTGCACGTGATCGGCATGGAGGAGCTGAGGGTGGGAAGTGTCTGGCACTCAACCAAACGATTACCATACAAGACTCCCCCACCCCCTCTCCAAAAAAGAAAAAAAAGGTGCAGGTTTCACCCACCATCTTGCAGTCGTCCAGGGTTCTTTGGGTTTTGTGGGCGCTTTCGGAGCCGCTGCCCCTGCGCTCCCAGTCCCCGCTCTGCAGCGGAGGCTTGCTGATCTGGAAGATCGAGGAGCGGGTGGACCGGCTGGGGCGCTTTTTGCGCCCATTCGGTGCAGAACTCATGCATACACATCCACCAAGCCGAAGCCGCTGGTGCAGTGCGCCCCTGCGCGGGCGGCCCGGTGGTTGCCCTGCACGCCGCGGCCAAGCAGCCGGAGCCGGGACCGAGACGCGCCGCTCACAGGGCTGGGGCTGGCTGCGCGGGTGGGTAACCTTCAGCTTGAAGGAGAGCCGGGGAAGCGCTGGCTGCGCCGTGCAGCATCGCGTCCACTAGCAGCGAGGAAGGGGCGCGATCAAGTTCTGCTCAGCAGCATTGCGGGCCCTGTCCCGGGAGTTGGGCGCTGTCGCGGACGCGCACCGCGCTCCTCTCGGCAGGGATCGCCCCGCTGAGCCAGAAGGAACGCGCAGCCCTGCGGCGCTGAGTTTCCATTCAGATGGGGGAGCAGCTCTCAAAGCCTGCGCTGCAAGGTGGGGGGCGGGAGGGGGTGTCGCTCCTGCTCCAATGTCTTCCCGCGGCGTCGCTCAGTTCATCTTTTCCCTCTCTCCACGGTCGCCAGGCCTGGAAGGGCTGGCTGTACCCGCAGCAGGCAATTGGCTCTAATCTGTTGCCTTGATCCCTCGTCTCTACGGGTTCCTTGTTTAAGGATCGCAAAAGAATCCGTGGCGGGACTGGCAGACGCAGGAAATCGGTCCGGCTGACGTTGGTCGAGGCCCCGAACATTGATAGGACGGGAATACTAATGTGATCCGTCCATGCAAACCCCTTCCCCCACCGCAGTTTATGCACTTATCCAATCAAATCCCCAGGAACATCAATTGCAATATTACTTCATCTGCTCTATTATTAGAAGCGAAAAGTGTCATCAGAGTGAAGCACATTGCCACATGGTGAGACGTAAACATGAATTTCAAATAAACCAATGTGGATTTGAGGCCCTCGACATCTGAGACCAGGTGACTGTCTGGGGCCAAAAAGAAGTGAAGTTTTTGCTTTACAAGGAAGATCTCATGACAGCATTAAAAAAAAGTGCTTTGCTTCTCTGAGCTGTTTTTGCTTTCGTTTGTCTTTTTCATGGGGGAAGGAATGAGGCCAAATGCACGGAGGCTTCACCCACTGCAACTTGTAAAGCTCTTGGCCTTGTAGTGCAGTCTCAAGAGTTTCAGCTCTAAGAGTTTTTCTGAAAGAGACTTCAAAAAGTACAAGGCAACAGGCTCCCCTGACACTCAAGATGACCCTTTCTCCTAGGACATCAGAAACCCAGAGGCTGATGGAAGTGGTTCTGCACGAACAAGAAGGGAAGTGCTCAGCTCTCCCTTGCACTGGCTCCCGCAGGTCCTCTGGGAGGCAGAGGCAGTGGTGTGGACACTCAGCTCTACAACCTGAGAACCCTTCTTCCCAGAAATGCGTTGTTTGGAAAGGACAGCTTAAAGGCATCAGCCGCAGGGGGGCTACTTAAATTGAAAAGCCTATTGCGAATAAATCACAAGTTCCTAGGGATGTGGGAAATCCACAGAAAGAGAGAGCTAGAAATAGCCAGAAAGGCTAACATCTGTGGTTCTAGAGGTTTTGTTTTTGTTCTTGGTTTTTTTTTTTTTTTCAGGGCAAGTGATATCTCAGAGCAGAGCTATTCGGCCATTGTCCTTGGCTCCTGGCACAGAGCTCCTAAAATAACTGAAACTTACCTTGATGATAAGCATGCAAAGAGCATCTTGTTGCCAGAAAGACCACTTAGAAGCTTGGTATGTTCAGCCCTATCCCCAACCTCCAGGGAAGGGAAAGGAGCTAAGTGAGTGAGATACCAGTGGCCATTACTTAATCAAAAATGCCTTTATAAAGAAAGCTTCATAGAAACTCTTAAATGATGACAGGCCTTCTGGATTGGTGAGACCATCTAGGTGCTGTGAGGGTATCACTATCACACCCAGAAAAGACGTGGATGTTACCTGCCACCCCTGCCCCATACTTTGTGCTATGCATCTCTTCTATTTGGCTGTTCCTGAGTTGTAGCCCTCATAGTAAACTGAGAGCAGTAAGTAAAGTGCTTCCCTGAGTCATTCTAGCAAATTATGGAACCTGACAGGGAGGGTCATGGGAATTCCATGGGAATTCAGTTGGGAGCCAAGTTGGATAGAGGAACAGGTAACTGGGGGCCTAACCCTGGCATCTGAAGTGAGGGCAGTCTCATAGGGCTGGCCCATACAACTGGCTGAATCTGACGCTAACTCTGGGTTGTTAGAGAAACGAGCTGAATTGTAAGACACCTTGTTGGTGTCAGAGTAATGTTGGAAAAGACATCATGTTTTTGGTTGGGGACGAAAAACAAAATCTAACAGGTAGATAACTGGGTGAACTTTCAGCTGCATTTGCACATGACTTCACAAAGACAGAGTCAGTTTCTCTACCAGACCCTAGTGGAAGGAGGTATTGCACCCCTCCAAACATTTCCACCTTTGTATACTGTGATCCTTTAGGTCTTTAGATGACCCAGAGACCAGCCTGAAAAAGCTCAGCTGTTGACTTCCTCTCCCAAATATAAGAAGGCAAAGAAATAACTCTTAGCCAGCTCCCTGACTGTTCTCCTTTTTCTCCTCTCAATTTATTCTCTCTTACATGTGTAAAAAGCAGGAGACACTGACGGACAAATACATGTGGTGCCTAAGATCTGGTGGGAACGTGGGGATGGTGAGGAGAAAGGGGCTAAGGGGCTTTAAAGAGAAATGTATGGCAACTCATCTATAAATCCCTGAAGTCCCGTGATACAAACCCCTTTCCTTATAATTAACCGATCCCTCCAATCCCCCACACAAGGGAATCTGCTTTGGCATAGTTGATGGGACTTTAGAAAACAAAACGTGTATGTGGACATAAGATGGAGAAATGGTGTGCTGGAAATCTTTCGCTACTATCTGTTTTTTCACCTTCCCTCTCTGCAAGAAAACAGTGACTTCACCAGATCTGAGCATCTCTAAGCTCCTCATAGTAGGCCTCTACTCCAGCTCTAACCATCTGTTTTCTACCCCCGTCCACTTCTGCCTAGAGACAATTTCAACAAGTTAAAAGGAAAAAAACCCACCACGGTTGCAACACCCTGTTTCCATGCCATGTTTCTTGCAGGAGGTGGGAGTCAGGAGAGGGAAGGAAGAATAAATGGGCCAAATGCAATGCCACATGGGAAGGACTGCAAGTGTGGACACCTACTGGGTGATTAAGCAGACATTATCATTTGCAGGTACCCCTTGGCCTTCCTGAAACTGACCAAACCATTTTCCTAACAGAGGAGAAAAATAGCCTCAATTCCAGAGCTGTCTCTCCCAGCAACAAACGCTGTAATCAGAATAGCAGCAGGCAGGTTTAGCTCCTTCACCTTCCCCCACACTCAAGACGGCAGGAATTTGCATTCCTCGGGCTGTCTGACTGCCAAGTAGAAGGGCAAAGTGGAGTTGGAAATTTCAATAGGAAGGGCACATTTTCTAGTTACTCAGACCCAATTTTGACACATCGTTGATAATAGGTCCTCTACAGGTGTTATGGCTTTGAAAGGGTCACAGCCTACATTCACTCCAGTATAAGACACACCTTCTATTTTATACTCTCTCCGTGATAGTTTAAGAGAATTCACTTTGATTTGGAATCTAAGAAGAGAGAGAGAACATCAGAGAGTATCGATTCAAAGTGACTATGAGCAACTGGTATAGTGCTGTCCCTGTTCCCTAGTTGAATTCTTTCCATGATTCTGGTTGCAAACTAAATTAGAGAAGAACCGACTCCCATTTCCTCATAAGGTCAACATTGAACCTAATCACTGAATTTGACTAGGTTCTCATCCAGTTCAGTTTGAGACCAGAATCCTGGAAAGAATTAAGTTTGTGAACCGAGGCACCACTGTATTTCTTCAGATTGGTGCCATAAAAAACTTCATTAGGACCCAAAGTTGAACACTTCAAACTAGTCTGATCTTCCACAGAAGAAGACCCTGAGATCAGGTCCCATTTGAAACTACAGTTCAAGGAGTTAACAAAATGAAAAGGGGCTTTCTATGAATGGATTTGTGAAAGAGGCAGATAAAAATACACTAAGATGCTGAGTTCCAGAAACTGGGGAGTTCTGAACAGAGTGATCAAGTTTTGTTAGCACCAAAGGTAAAACACTAAGTTATTTTGAAGAATTTAGTGAATAAACTGTCTAATAAAAAGTTTATTTTACTGAGAATAGGAAGGAAAACAAATGTTCAGAAAATTTATTTATTAATTTTACAAACTCTTTTCAAAGTTTTAAATATGGGCAGATCCAGGTATTGCTGGTCTTGAGTTTAAGAACACCTCTGTCCCTTGAGACAGGATCTTACTATGCAGTTCCAGTTTGAACTCAAATTTGCTATCTAGCCCAGGCTGGCCTCAAACTCACAGTAATATTCCTGTTTCAGCTTTTTGAGTGCTGGGATTATGGGTGTGTACCACCATACCCAGCTAGGAGCCCATTTTGAATAAAAAGAATTCAAAACTTTAAATACAAAATTAGATACATGATCTTCAAAAAAGCCTATGCAAGTGAGGCTCCCTGAAGTTTATGCTTCATAAAAAACTTCCATCAAATTTCCATCACTGATGTCTCTTATGTGCATAATGGACAGCTGGTGTTTCCTGGATCAGATGTTTCCCTTTTAGACTGATAACACCTCACATTTCCTTGGAGATTTCAGCCTTGTCTCACTTTCTGCCCACAGGGCTCTGTGACTGGGTATATGACTAGGCTTGGCCAGTGAAAACACTGCATTGTCATGGCCGCATTGATTGGTTAAGGAGTGGAGATGAAATCTGAGCTGGAGTAATAAGATTTTTTTCTAGAGCTATAAGCTTAAAACATGGAGTTACCATTTTCAGTTTTTTTTTTGGCTAACATAAATGTTAGTTATATGTATTTAAACCTAATGTTTAGCTTTTTTCTTTTCTTTCCATGGTTTTGTAGGTTGGTAAAATGAAAGCCTAAAGTTTCTGGTGGCTGCCTTAGCTATTTATGGTCAACAGACTTCCTGAGACCTATCTCACAGGGTAAGAACCACAGCAGAGATGGAGAAAGATTGACCCTTAGTAATACTATTTGAGCATTTTAGCCAGCTCTTCCTTAAGCCAAGCTTCATCTACAATTTCAGTTAGGTGAACCAAAATTTTTCCCTTTAAATCAAGGTATTTTGATTTAAGAAACTAGATACAACCAAAAGAATTTTGATTAACATAAAATATAAAAATCACTACACCAGTTGTCTAATACTGAGTGTTCACCATGAGTGCAGTACTGTGTTAAATACAAGAACAAATACACAAGGGAGAAAGGATGACTTTTCTTTCAAGTGTACTCCTGCTTGAGAGATAAGACATAGAAAAGCGAAAACAGTGAAGAGCAATAACATGTAGAACATTGTTACTTGAAGAATAGGTAGAATTTGGACAGGCGGAGAAGTGTGGGAGAGCTTTGCAGAGGCTGGCTACCTGCAGGAACAAAGGCACAAGAGTGGATGTGATCAAGAGCCTTGCATGAATTGAAGATAAGGCAGAGTGGTTCACATGAAAGTACTGCGGCTGAACTCAAGGGAGTAGAATAAATGGTCTGATTTCTTTGGTTTAAAAAAGAGAAAAGGACAATATCAGAAGAGCAGAAGGCCTAACAGTTTTCTCTGGATGACAGAATGTACACAATTTGAGGCCAGTTGGAAAATATGTAAAATACGTATATCTGAAGGGCTAATCTGGCATCTACCATGGCCTTTCCATGGTCTTT